TTTTAATGTGTTTCAATGGTTTTTTTATTTTCGCTTTACGTTTTCGCTCTACAGCGATTTCACTGGAACAAATTAACGTCATTAAGCGAGGCACCACTGTATACTGTATAGTGTTCTATAGATGGTATATAACTCCCACAAAACTAGCCAAAATGAATGCAAAAATTTCAAATTTCTGTTGGAGTTGTAAACAAAAAGAAGGTTCTTTCTGTCACATGTGGTGGTTATGCGGGAAAGTTCAAAAATACTGGAAAAGGGTTGAAATGCTTTTGCAAGAGGTTCTAGAGAGTCCGTTAACTGTAACCCCCACATTCTTTCTTTTAAACATAATTCTGGACTCAATAGAACCAATGAAACCTTTTTTTAGCCATCCATATCTTGATAGCTGCAAGAATTATCTTTGCTAAACATTGGAAAGACTGGGATAATCCATCACAAGACAAGTTAATAGCAAAAAATCTGGACACGATGGAAATGGATAAATTATCAGAATGGTGAGATTCGACAAGAAAGATGAACCATGAGGACTGTTGGCATAAATTTTATAACTGGCTCAGAAATAGAATGCAAATTAATATTTGATAATAGAAGGCCTATGATCAATTTAGAAATACAATGTATATCATATCTAAGCTTTACTGGGAACATATATACCTATGAAATGTAACAGATTATAATGAGTATTCTAAAATGTTTATGTTGATTTTCACCCCATTTATCCCATGCCCCATTTTTTCCCATCCCTACACCCAAGCCCTAAAAAAGGGGGGGAGGGGAAAGAGTAAGAGCAAATGAATCAACAGATCAGGTCAGAGTAGACAATCTATTTTCTCGGCAAGGCAAGGCATAGGAATAAGAAGCTAAACATGGGTACCTCAGCTTGTCTGCTATAAAGATCACCCTTCTCTCCAGCAGTAGGGAAGCAAAGACTCTACTTAAGTGCCGGATGCTGAGTGAGGAAAACAGGGACTCAAAATCAACATGTTCCAGCCTAGAGTCAAGTGGTCGACGCAACTCAATTACCTGAAAGAGTAAATAACATGGCTTAGATGCCTCAAACTCCCAAAATTTTAATTCAAGTGTTGTTTTCCAGAACCACTTCCACTTCCTTTGAGCTATCAGGGCAATATCCTCTCATTCCAGTTTTGAACTTACTTCTGTCCCAGAGCCAGGCAAGAAGTTCTTGATAGTGATGGTCCGGCCCAGTGCTGGAAATGGAGCTTCCATAACGCTCCTCATAAGGGGTTGTACCAAGGCAGGGGAAATGCCACGCCTTTTCTCAACCTCATCCAAGATCTAAAAAAGGAGAGAAACAAAGACATAAATGTAAGAAGTTCTGAGAAATACCTGTTTTATACATAAGTGTCCATCAGAACTTGAAATAAAGTTCTTTTCTGTAGTACAACTCCCACGATCCCTCAGATAGTATGGATTCTGGGAGTTCCAGGGGTTGGGAGGAGTTAACTTTCTCAAACTCTGATCTCCTCTTAATAATCTTTAATTTGGAACAAAACGACAACATCAATGGTGGAGCAGTGATGGAAGGGGGAATCTAACTGCTTCTGTCTGAATCATTTTCCCCACTTAAAATATCCCATCCTTCTGATGAATAACAGCCATCTGCCTCACCTTAGAAAAGAGGTTGAAACATCCAAGGCGGCTCACAATGCAGTAGACTTCAGGAAGACGCTTCCCTTTCCCACTGGGCTTTCAAGAGAGACAGACAAAAGACACACCCACACAAATAAACAGTAATTAACAAGAAGAAGAAAAAACCAAGCTGGGGAACCTATATTGGACTCCAGACAGTTTTCTGCAACCTATGTCCTTAAATGCATAAGGTACAAAAATGTTACTTGAATTTTCTAAACTGTTATTATTTCTTAACTAAATTACTTCAGTTAGGACAACTACTAAGAAACTGATGGTTAGATCTGTCTGCAGAAAGAAAGTTGAAGTACCATAATGAAATCCATAAATAAAAAATAATCATGTGCTATTAAGTCATTTGATGTATGGCAACCCTTTTCAGGGTTTTCCAGGAACAGAATACTCATAAGTGGTTTGGCATTCCCTTTTTTTGGGGGGGGGGTGCCTTGGGACTGTGCAGCTCACCCAAGGCCACATAGGCTGGCTCTTCTCTCTGAAGGCACAGTGGGGAATCGAACTCCCAACCTCTATCTCTGTAGCCAGATACCTAAACCACTGAGCTATCCAGCCAGATATCCATAAAGCTAGCATTAAAAAAAGGTCTATGAAAAATATATGCAATAACTGCTTCTACAAATTTCCATCTTAATATGTCTAAAATGATGTACTGAGCAACAAAAGCAAAGAGTCATTTTTGATGCTTGGATAAATCATAACGTGCCCAGGTTGGCTGATTTCCCTGAGGAACGGAGAACTGTTATTTGATGAATATGTCCCACACATCTGCTGATTTTTTAAACTCCTTCCTGCTTTATTTTTAATACTTCTACATCTCATAATGTTTACAGGAGATGAGAAGGAAAAGATGTTTGTCCATCTAGCCTGGTACTGTCAACACTGAACAGGATTCAGAAAGAAGCACAAGAAGCTAGTTACCAGTAGCCTTCTGCAATATCCAAATCTTCGGCTGCCATCTTCACTAGTCAAGACGAAGGAGAAAGTCTCACTGAAAGAGAGAAAGGCAAGAGAGAGCCTGCAAAGTGAAAAACAAACTCTACTTTGACAAGGTTTTACCGACATACCTACAAGGAGAACAGTGAAGCCCAAAAATCTCTAAGACAATATCAGTTCAGAGTGCAAGAGGAGAAAAGTAAATGTGAATGTTCCTCTAAATTAAAAGGTAGAGGGCAACAGGCATCTCCATATGTTTTATATATTTATTATATGGTTACCTTATTTTTCCTACAAGTGGATCAGTGCAGCACAAGTGACTCTTCCTCCTCTCTTTCTGCCAATAATAATCCTATGATCAGATTAGACGAGGATGAGTCTCAGCAGGGCCAAGGAACATTCTTTTTTCTGTAGCCAAAGGGCCACAATCCCAAAGAAGTTGGGCTAAAGGGCCATGATGTGGCCAACCAGACTAATTGGCATGTTTAATAATTTTTTAAAATGGGTTTAATGCTGTGATTATATACAATAAAGTTTATTACAGTGCGGTTTTGTTAACTGAGGGTGACACTAGATGGCTGAATTATCCTGGCCTGGATTGGTCTTGATCATGTTAAACAGTGTCCACATGCAAGGATGAATCACACTGTACTTCAAACGACACTGTTTAACACAATCAAGTGGAAAGGAAGCTTCTCATTTCTCAAGATTGTTAAGTGTCTGGCTGGTCACTTCACCCTTTGGTGGAACAGCATAACAATCTTGATAAAGGGAATTTTTTCCCCACTTACTATTGTAGGGGGAGATGAAACTTTCAATTTAATTTTAATTACTGTTTAAAAAATACAGTGTACTAGTAATGCTTTGACAGAATTAAAAAAAACACTTTCAAACCATACGTAGCTGATACATTACCAACAATGAAAAAGAAATACAAAACTTCCTCTCCCTTGCCCTGCAAAGGCAAGTGGAAAGGAAGCTTTCTGTTTCTCAAGATCATTAAGCAGCTACACCAAAAATCCAGCAAGTCATCTACTTTGGTTTAAGGCCGGTGCTCACACATGCTGGAACCAAAAAAAAAGACCCAAATAGGTGCAGGTCAGCATCAACCAGGCTGATTTACAATGGCACTGTATGTTTGCCAGAAAAGAGAGTAAACCAGCCTGTCCCCAACCCAGAAAAAATATGGGACAAATGTCCATCTGATTGCACCCCAAGTAATGAGTTTAAAAGGGGAAAGCTCCCTCACATCCTCTTCTGGCCCTGATATTGTTTTTTAAAAAAAATTAAGATGGGAAGTAGATTAAAAAAAACAAAAATTAAAATTTTGGAGTGTGAAAATGCAGAGATGCTGCAAAGATGCCCTGTTGCTGACATTAAGTTGAGAACCTATTTTTTTTATGCTGACAGTTTATCTAACAGCTTAAGAAAGGTTAAGACTCACAGGAATGTTCACTCATTTCATTGATTACATTTGCAGCACACGTTTCCTGAAATGAGCTGGTGAGAGGTGCAGAAAAAGGCTTGGCAGGCTTTCCTGAAAAATTAGACTAAGATATAGTATTCCAATTAGCTGGATATCTTCGAATTCTAAAATCTATCAATTTGGATGGACTCAGCAGCAGAGAAATATTATGTTTCAAAGGAGGAAAAGTATTAGCTGCCTTCAGCTCCTAGGGAAAAAACAGGATTATTACAAGCAGAAGCACTGGATAGGCTATTTGAATCTCTCTCAGCAATCAGACACTTTTTCTGCTTTCTCTGTGCACATACTTAGCCTTGCAAAAGAAAAAAAATAACTAGACCTATTTTTGCAAAATTCCACAAAAACTGCACCAAAATAAGTGTTCGCTTTTGTGTTCTTGCGCTGAAAGCAAGATCACAGGGTTTGAAATTTCCTTGTAAAGCTGATTCACTGTGTGGAGACAGGGTGTCCTGATAAGAAACAAGACCTCATCAAGTATTTTCGCAGCAAGTGGTGGAGAGGAGAAAAAGAAACGGCCACTTCACTTGCCTGGCAAATTGGCAAACAGGCGTCCAATCTTTTGCATCAGGGAAGCAAAACTGGGGAATGGCTTTCAGTTGGTCTTCCGCCTCCCTCATGAATTTGAAAGAACGTTCAAGCTGGAGCAGTGAGGAGAGAAGAGAATGTTTCTGATTAGTTAGGTGCAAGTGAAATAGCTTGAAGTGATCCTTGCACCCACCCACCTCCCATTCAACGGAGAGGTGATGACAGAGACTGAGCTTCTGCCTGGAAAGCATTAACACAGCTGTTAGCCGAGCTCACTGGACCTTCACATACTTCCACACCATTGGGGATGATACCAGTTTGCTTGGAGACATCTTTAGTTATCTGAGAACACCGAACTGCACTAAGTTAGGTCAACCAGTTTATCTGCTTAACCCAGTGCTGTCTGTACCAAGCAGCAGAGGCTTTGTACTATCTCAGGAAGAGATCTTTCCCATCCAATGCTACCCAATCCTATAAAACTGGAAAAGGCAACCTTTACCAAGCTATGGGCGACACATGTCTCTACATTTTTGCAAGCATCCTAGACACCCCTGAAATACAATAGCAAATCGGACCACCAACATTCAGCTGCAAAATGGAAACAGCTCTTATAGCAAGCCTTTCCATGCTGCCTCTGGAATTTGACAGTAGGCTAGCATGAGGTGGCCACAGAAGTCCACAATGGATCCTGCAAAGACAAAATGGGTCTCAGTCTCTGAGGTTGCCCATCCTCTGCTTTAAATTGAGTAATTGGGATTGAATCCCCAGGGGAGCCATCAGCATATACAGAGACCACCGGCTCACACACTACCACACTCATGTATTTCTACCCAGATGTCTGAAGCAAGCCCTTCCCTAAGTCTCCTTAGGGGGCCAAAAAGCCTTGTAGTTTGCCTGATCAACCAGGAACTCAAGTTTACAATAACCCATGTAGACCCTTCCACGGCATGCCCTACCTTCAATGGAAACTGCTGAGTGACTTCAGGGACATAAGGAGCGCAAGCTTGTTTCTTGTGCAGGGACACCACCACAAAGTATTCAAAGAGCTGCCTCTCCTGGTACTCAATCAGATCCCGTTCCAGGGTTTGGTATCTGGGAGCTTGTTTCAGGCGAGACTTCACATGAACCAGACGCTGGCTGTGAGCTATACACGGACAGGCAAACCGTCAATCTTATATTACTATTTTGCCCAATATTCCCAGAGTGGCTGCTGTTCTCTTTCTGTCAAAACCATCATGATCTAAATGTTCTGGTATTACTTTGAGCTATGACCAGGCAAAACATACTTTCTAATCATGACAGAAAATTGCAACAAGACATTATACAGAAGGTTAAGATAAAATATAACGTTAAGGGAAACTCTTCTCCCTCCTCTTTTGCTAGGAGAACCAAAGAACCAAAGAATGTCAGAAGTTGTGCTTCTTAAACTGCACGGTTCCACATAACTTCACAAAAATGAAAATAGAGACTATTAAAAATATTTGCCTATGCTGATAAAGGATAATGATACCATTAATAAATGCATAAACTCTACATATTATTCAACAGTATAGGTACATTAAATACAAATATCACCCAAATGTAACTTTCCCACCCTACTGGTATGTGTTGGTAGACCTCATGTTTTATCTAGGAAAATGGGAGGGGAGGGGGATAAACCAATTCAAAATGCAAACTATTAAGGCAAAATCATATTTCTATCAATTTTAACTGCAATCTTAAACACAGCTAACCAATGAGTAAGTCCTATTGAACACAGGAGGCCTTGCTTATTTAGTTCATATTTTATTCCTTAGTTACATCTTAATTGCACCTTTTTTCTTCAAAGTGTGCAAGTCTCTTTTTCTCCTCATGTTACCTTCTTTTCCCCACATTATTGTCACAACAACTCTGTGAGGTAGGCTCAGGCTGAGAGTATGTGACAGTCCTAAACTCATCTACTGAATTTCATGCTTGGGTGGGGCACCAAAACCTGCAACTTCCCAATGCTAATCCAATATTTAAGTAGTACACCACATAGTCTCATAGAAAAAACACGCATATGACTGCACCACACACTGGTCACACAGATCATGTTTCTGTGTCAACTGGCATTCTCGAGTGCATCATTTCACATTGAGTAAAAGAATAGTTAACTTTAAAAATATTTGAATGTGTATGCAGGCCCAAAATTGATCCTGGTGTGTTTGGCTAAAGGTAGGGGGAGTGAAATAAGAGACAAGGCAGGTGCAAATTGGTCTTCATACCCAGAACTTTTGGTTCAAGAATCAAATACTTTCTCTCAAAAACAGGCACACTGAATGAATGAGTTACTTATCAGTAGCTGTGTTCCAAAACAAGCTGATTATTTTGTAATTGTAATGTAAACTATCTTCCAGACTGCAGTTTTTACATGTACATTCACTTTCTCAGCAACCTTTGAAGCACTTTTTAAAAACTACTTTTCATTTTTAGGGCAACACTTCTGTACCTCATAAATTCATTCCCCCGCCCCCCCCCCCGAATATTAACATACTTTCTCACTGGCTATATTCACCATTCCTTTTTCTTACCATTCAGCTTCTCTTCAGTGTCGCTGTCTGATTCACTGTTTTCATCTATAACTGGCATAAAACAAAGCAAGATAAGAAAAGAAGCATTAATTTTCTTTTTCAAAATGGTATTCTAGGCAACAGGCAAAACTCTAGTATTCTTCCCAGGTTCCTCAGTGAGTAGGCCATGGGTCCAGGCAGCACGAATCACCTTGTGTCCCAAAAATATTCCAAAGTGTATTCTCTTCTCCTCCTCCTCCATGTCCATAACAGCAGAAGGCAGTAATGGAGAAATACACATTACAATAGCTTCAGGGTACAAGGGGTATTAAACATCATGGGGAGGATGGATTGGGCAGCAGCCATATATCGTTGAATCCTGGCAGTTATTAAAGAGATCTCTTCTGGTCTTAATAAATAAATTATGCCGCCGCTGTACAAAAAGAAAAACAAATCCGTGACACAAATAAAAGTACCAGTATCATAGTGCATTATATTAATCCATGATGTGGACATCTTGAATACTGTTCATGGTTCTGATGACCTCTCCTGAAAACAATATTGTTGAACTAGAAAATGTGGAGAAAATAGCAATCAAGATGTTTGAGGGATTGGAGCAACTCTCCAGTAGGTTCGTATATTTTAACTGCCCAGAGCAGTGGCCTGGCCACTAGCTGGGACAGATAAAAAAAAGTTCAATTAAATAAACAAACAAACAAACAAACAAACAAACAAATAGGTTCTTTAATGTAGGACAATACCAAAGAAAAACTAAGAATCATTTGTAGCCCAGTTTTAACTGAAGACACAGACAGACACACTTCATAAACGTTTCCCAAAGTCATTTGAGATCTGCATGGCTCCTACAGTATCACATTTTCTTTACCTCTTCCTGAGCTGTTATCTGTGGACTGTGATAACCTCTTGAGTCTCTTCTTCCCTCTTCGTGCCTCATACACAGCATTGATTTTCAACACCAACTGTTCAATACGAGAAAGGGAAAGTTAGTCTTTTTTTTCCTTCCACAAGTGAAGAGAATCAAACATTATGGATGGCTCCTTGGCCCAGTATAAATGCATTACACTCTTATTTCCTCCCCGCTACTGTTCATCATTTATTTTCCTACGGCCTGTTCGTTCTGTCTTTTTCTTTCTTGTTAGGACTCTCCCAAAATTCTGCATCTGAGAAAAGTATCACAAAATGTAAACAAAGCTAACAAGACACATATAGGTAATGTGGAATGTACAATTAACATAGAGGTATTTTACTTTTCATTTCTATACAGTCAGATCCACACCATAACAATACTGATTGGACTTGCAGGGATGTGCATGGCTAGGACAGGTGGAAGAGTGCAGGACCCAGTTTCTCACAGAGATAAAGGAAAACAGTGGTATGAACTGGCTCACCTTTTCAAAGTATTTGGGCTAAACCATGCATTTCAGGTTTTTTGCTCCCACAACTAGCTCAGTTTTTTTAGCTCTCAAAAACAAATCTAAGCAAGTCAGGAATCTCAAAGCAAGTTGGAAAGCTGATCTGTAATTCTGATTTGTTAAAGGAACAGCGACCAGACAACACAAAAATCAATTAGGCAATAATATAAGGAGATGCTAGCAGTAATGCTGGAAAGGAAGATAAAAGCAGCAGAGAAATGGCTGTAGGTACCAGCACATAACTCTTTCACAAAAAGCTAGAGTTCACCAAAACTCTAACTTAATTTGATATGTATGAATGAAAAAATGCCTCAGCTCAGATAAATGAGTTAGCCCAAATATATCTTTTATTTTAGAAAAAAAATGTGATCAGGTACACATCCATAACAGTTGGATACTTCCAACTTCCAATTTCAATAATAACACACTTAGGATTCAAAATTTTCTGTTTAGAACCTCTTCCAAGTGAAGACATTTTTTTCCATACACTGGCTCTCGCCCTACACCCATCCCAGCTCCAACCCCACAAACAATCTTCAGAGAAGAATTCCACACCTTGGGAATTTTTCTCTTTCTCTTGCCATTTTGAGGATCACCCAAGGAGAAGAAAGTATCATCGGGGCTGCTCGGAGTGGAAGGAGGACTGATTTTGGAAGGAGAACATGTCCCATCCCGATTTGATTTCCGTATATCTAATAACTTGAAACTGCGCCGTTCGGAGTTTTGTCGAAAGAAGATGGGCTTGGACAGCAGCTGGAGAGGCAGAACAGAACATAAAAAAACCCTCAAACATCAGAGTTTAATCTTTGTGGCATCTTTTGCAAGATAGGCATAATCCTATACAATAAAGGCATTTTTCTGTGGTAACAGTAAACCCAAGTGAGGGAAAGAAAGGAACATAAAAACTTTAGTTACAAGAATTCTTGGCAGACTACCTCCGGCCTAAATACATTTATGTAGTTTCTTTGCCTTTCACAAGATGGTCTAGCGGGACAATAGGACACACTTTATCTTCCACATCATGAAAGAACTCAGTGGTTACCAAAAGGACATGTCTAATCCTCATGACAGAAAGAAATTTTATTATTTGCAAACCCTGTCTGGGAGCTTTATAGAAACAAAACAAGCCAACAAGGCTTAACCAGCCAAACAACCACAAACATTTGTACTACAGAATGAAATAGCTACCGTACCACATCAGACTGAGAAGTTATATGGTCCAGTAGTCTGTTAGTGAGTGGTCATTACCAGTGGCTTCAGAGGCAAGATTAAACATCCCTCCACTTGTCTAGTTATGGAGCTTCATATTCCCTAACCCTGTTATTTGGTGATTGGTTCTCTCCACTAGAACCACTGAGAGGTCTGGCATGATTTCATGGTTCTACTGGGCACAGTAATTCATGTCCTGGGATTGAATGTGAGAAACCTGAACTTTAAATCTTGGCTGTGCCATGGTTTGCTCGGTGGCCTTGGGAAAACTGAAACAGGGCTAGTGTGTAAGACACTCTGCATACTGGTGACTGCTACAGAAACTGGAATGTCTCATTTTCAAAAACCCCAAGCACTGAGGAGAAGGTCAGTTGCATGTCACTCTGGTAAAAAAATTCTTTCTGCTGTGAGGATCAGACAAGTCTTCTTCGTAACCAATGTGAGTTCTTTCATGATGTGGAAAATAAAGTGTGTCCTATTATCCTGCTAGACTACCATGTGAAAGGCAAAGCAGCTACATGAGGTATATAATTCCAGAGGTATATACTGTATATACTCGAGTATAACCCTAGTTTTTCAGCACAACTTTTTTGCTGAAAAAGCACCCCCTCGGCTTATACAGTGGGGCCCTGCTCGACGATTACTTCGTTAGACGAGGTAATTGCTTAACGATGAAGTTTTTGTGATTGCTTTTGCGATCTTAAATCAATGTTTTAATAGGGGAAAATCGCTTCACAATGATTGGTTCCCTGCTTTGGGAACCAATTTTTCACTTAATGACGATCAAAACAGCTGATCGTTGGGCTTTCAAAATGGCTCCCCGCTGTGTTTTAGGATGGATTCCTCGCTATACAAGCACCGGAAAATGGCCGCCCTACGGAGGATCTTTGCTGGATGTTGAGGTATTTCGCCCATTGGAAAGCATTGAACCAGTTTTCAATGCATTTCAATGGGATTTATACTTTCGCTTGACAACGATTTCGTTCTAGAGCGATTTTGCTGGAACGGATTATCCTCGTCAAGCGAGGCACCACTGTACTTGAGTCAGTGTCAAAATTACATATTCTCCCCCGCAGTGCAGGTGTTCTCCAGACTCCCCCACTCATCTACGGGTGCCTGCAGCCTCTGTGGGTGGTCCGATGACCCAGGTTAAGTACACTGCATTTCTGCTTCCAGGACACTCCCATCCTCCTCCTTCTGCATATTCTATGCACCCACCTTCCTCCTCCCACCTTCCTCCACCATCCTCTGTCTCCCTCCATCTTGTTACGCAGCAGTAGAGCAATAGATAAGCGCAGCATCCGGTATATGAGTCCTCCCTCCGCAGGCAGTGATGTGTGTCTTGCAGCTCAGAAGGGCAGTATCTTCAAAAACATTTAACCTACTGATGCCTCAATTAATGTAATTTTATTGGTATTTATTTTTATTTTTGAAATTTACCAGTAGTTGCTGCATTTTCCACCCATGGCTTATACTCGAGTCAATAGGTTTTCCCAGTTTTTGTGGTAAAATTGGGTGCCTCGGCTTACATTCGGGTTGCCTTATACTCGAGTATATACGGTAATTCCAGATTATGAGGAATCTTGTTTATTTTCCTTGCTCCACTGGGCCCCATCTTCTCTCTCACACCCTTTCCATTCATTCATGTGCAAAAGTTAAAAATGAAAGCATAGTGATATCTGGTTTCGAAAACTTCACAACAGAAATGACATCTCATTTTCTCATCCTGGTTACTGCCTTAACCTCACCTTCAATGCGCAAGGATTCCCACTTCCTGACCTGTTTTCCTTTAGAACACAAGCCTTCTGGAAAAGGACCTGTACTATGTATTGAAATATACATAAGGCAAGTCAATGCCCAATAAATGCTACTTAATTTTGCAGACCAGAATTTCCATCTGGCAGCTTCCATCTCTCGTTCTTCCTCATCTCTTCTCCTGGGCTCAGGTCCAGCACGCTGAGCAGAGCCACTGCTCGTAACAGCTAGCTGAGTGCCAGAGCAAATTTCCCCAGTGGGCCACACACTGCCTCTGCTCTTTGCTTGGAGAAAGAGGATGGCACTTGCCAAGAGAGGAAATGGAATGCAATCCAACCCAGGGATGGCCGAAAACATTTTGCTGCCTGAGGTAGAGCAGCAGATATCTCTCTCTCTCTCTCTCTCTCTCTCTCTCACACACACACACACACACACACACACACACACTCAAATTAAGTGGCAGACTACTCCAAGTGGGCCAGATTATTTTGGCACTAGAAGTAAAAAAAAAATCCTGCAAACACCTCTCCTTGTCACTGGCAGTAAAAACACTAGTAAGTATCTAAAAATTTGCTTCCCTCTCATGGCTTCAAAATACACTTCTAGCTGTCAGGTTACCCTGCAACCAGCTCTGATCCGAACCCTGTTTTTTGGGAGAGGGGTATCAGGAGCCTAGGATTGCTGTGAGCGGAAAGAAAACTCCTCTCTAGACTTCAGAAAACTAGAGTATGGTTGCCAATTTCCTCCCCCACAATGAACAGGTGGCCTCTATCAATGCAGCCAGGAAGACTAGCATTTTTCTTTCTTAACTTCTATGCATTATCCAGGTCTGGTAGGAATTAATTCATGACCCAAAACAGTCTCCACACCCATAGCATCTTAGCATGCTGTGTTCTAAGACATCCCACCCAGGTTCGTCAAACATACATAGTCACGCAAACACCCAAAACCTCTTGTTCTGTACCTCTTGATAAGTATTTATAAGGACACAGCTGCAGTAATGCACAACCCTCTCATAAACTCAGCTGTTTGAGGGCAGCCAGGCTTTTAGTGTATTGTAACCTTTATCCCAATCAGACTTTCCTCCGATTTTTGTTCTACTGTTAGCCATTTGCTCTACTGCCTTACAAAGGTGCCATTTTGCCACTGGGACTTTAATGCTTTAAATAGATTCAAAATTATTTTTCTCTTTTGAACAGAGTATCAGCAGCTTTCAAACTATTGGATAGGCAGGGTAAAAAGGTAACTAAAAGTTCAGAAAGTGATCGTGCCCCATGGGTAAAGCAAAGCAGAGCCCAGAAAAGTTACCATTAGACTATCAAGGGCAGCATTTCCCAGCTAGCATGGCCAACAGCCATACTAGTTGGGGAATGCTCACAGCTGTAGAGCCCCCCCCAAAAAATCCTAAATTCAAAGGAAAACGGAGGTAGAACTAGGATTAGGGTACAGGAAGCGGCCAAGTGGTCTACCATCCAACAAAATAGGATAGTGGAGGGCAAAACTGAAGTGCTAACAGACCCACATTTTCCTCAAACAGATCCCAGGTCAACACAGACAATTTGCAGCCAAAGTCAACTGCGAACAGGTACAAAGGTCCTCTTCTCTGCAACTATACCACTTCCAACCAGCCACATAAAAAGCAGCTTGCTACATGGTCATGTAGCATTCCCACATATTTTTGGCCATGGGATGCCAAAGGATTACCAGTGAAAACCCAAAGTAAAGAGGAGACCAGAAAACATCATTCATAACTCATCAGAGTTCAGCAGACTTAAAAGTTTTATCCTCTTAATAAAAAAAATTTTAACCAAATTTGATGTGCTGGAAATTAAGTCCATGGTAGAGTTAATCCAAGATGGGAAACCACACCAGAGAGTGAATTAGCAATTTTTGATCTCTGCAGGGCATCAACTTTCTCATCATGCAAGCTCTATAACACAGCCAAAACATGTAACTTTGGGGCACCAGAATTGCATGCTACAATGGTTATATGAGGATACCTTTGTGGGTGTGCCAGGAACTGAAGAAGAAGGAGATGCTGGAAAGTTCAGGACACATTTCTTCCCCAGGCAACGACTGTTTGTCTCAATGTCTTCATAGGGATTCTCTTTTACTGGAGGATCTGGAGGAGAATATCAAAAGCAACAGATAAACTAACACATATATGGAGCCTTTAGATGTCTTAAGAATGTAAGAGCTATCTTTGCTGGATCAGGGTCTAGTCCAGTCTTCTCCAGGTTGATACCCTTCAGATATGATGGACTACAATGATGCAAGTTACAGTCAACATCTGGTGTGCGCCAGGTTGGGAAAGACTCATCATATCTCTATCCACTTCTTATGGTTGCCAGGGCTGAATCCTATTTTAATCTCAACTACAGTAGACACAGTAAAATCAACAGGATTTATATGAGTATTGACTAATGAGTTCATTTCAATGGGTCTACATTAGCTGGGACTAAAATTGGATTTTGCTTAAGGATACATAGTTACACTGGTTTTGCATGTTGCAAAGAAGGTGACACTTTACTCATCATTTAAACTTTGGATCCAAAGAAACCATCTGTTTAATTCACATGCACCAAGCAGATGTTCAACGGACAGAGGCAAGAGCAGTTCTTTTTAAAGTACCTACCCTACCTGAGCGTCAGCAGCCAGTGGAAGCATCCTGGCTGGGTTGCATGAAGAGAGAAGCAGAGGAAAGTTGAACAGAGGAAAAGGTAAAAAGTGAAACACTGAATAGAGAATTAAGAGGGAACATTAATGTTGTGCATAAAGCTCTCACAATAAAAGGAGTATTCTGGTCTTCCTCTCTCCATCACTTCACAATGGAAAAGAAGAGGGAGAGCAATAGTATACTGTGGGAGAGCCTTTTCACATGCATTGGGACCCTGGAAAACAATTATTTACATCTTTTTCATTCTAACAAGTAGTTTATCAGTACCAAAACTATCTCCTTCCAGGATCCATGCATGCACTCTCCCAGAACACTTCTGATTCAGTCAGAAATTAGTGCCCAGTTTTGTTAGGAAAGAAATGTATCTTATCGTCCTTCCAACTCTAACCAGCCCTTACTGGCACAGCTTATGGTGTGTGGATGGAAACTAGAACCCAACAATATCAGCACATTCTAAGAGAACAATGAATAAATTCCTGGCAATCTACAGTGGAGTTAACCTGAAGTTATAAATCCATGAGATCATATCAGCTGAAATGCAAGTCCTTGCATTCATGCTGATTTGTATCTGCCCAAGCTTGGCTCTTATCCACTTTCAGACCTTAAATACCTACCTACAATATCTTCATAGACGTTTTCCTCTGATAAAGTGCGTGTTAAAGCCAATTTAGTTTGAGCATACCAGTCTACCCGACCGTTCTCAGAAGAGGACTGCAGTAAGTCTTCAAATTCATATGACTTTCTGTGGAGGTTTGTGGGAAGGAACAGAGAGGTGAGAATAAAAACAGTTTGACAACATACAGTTGAAAGAAGATGATGCAATCCAGATCTTTCACACATTTATTCATTAGATTGGAAAATGCATTTTGACACATTCATGCAAAGGGTTCCCTCCCACCACCACCCCATCTCTCAGTCCAGCATTCCTTTATGTCAGTCCCTTCTTTCATATCCCAGTGCATCCTTTTTCATGCTCTTCGCTCTTCTAGCTGCACCACTCACCGCTCTCTGAAGCTCTCCTGCTCTCTTCTTAGTTGCCTGCCCTTTCCCTGACCTCCCCTGTAGGCCTTAAAAGCCTCCACCGACAATGCCAATTCTCTTGGTTCCCTCAAAGCTCTCCTGGAAGTTTCCCTTTTCCAAGTAACCTTTGGCATAATCTTTTAGAATTTATACCCCACAGTAGCTAAGCCTGTTACAGAGATAAATCCATATGGTTCTCTTGTTTATTCTGTGGCTATTTCTTTCTCCATTGTTGTCCTCTTAATGACACCTTTTACAATATAAAATCCTCAGACCACAGGCCCGATCTTTTAAATCTCTGCAAAGCATAATGCATTTTGATGGACAACCGATCCAAACCATCAACAATGTGAAAAGGACATCAGCCACTTTGACATATTAGATCTGTTTCCCCCCCTTTTTTTTTCCTGCTTCATTTCTCAGTCAAGATGCGTACAAATGCTATGTAGGGACACTCAGGAAGGAGCTTATCTGTCCCTAGAAACACAAAAGCGGAGAGCATCCAAGTTGAACTAACATGTACCATATCTCAAGATGCATTGAGGATTTTTTAAATTTAAAATGCCTGACCTATTTCAACCTTCAAATTTTAAGGCGCTGATGGTTAATAAATTCTTCAGAAAAAGTCACCCAGTACAAACTATTGCTGTGGATCAGTAATCTGTAGACTGCTCTCTTTGATCCCCTCACAACATTACCAAGTCAAAATGTGTTGGGCATAACTATATGGACAATCCCTGGAAAGACCTGGCAGACAGCTGGAAAACAATGAAATTAATCTAGGCACTCAAGCACAACAGACTTCAAATTATATATCATAACACCACCAAATGTTAATTACAATCCATTATAGAGAGGGTGGGAAAATGTCCCTTCTTTGTCATTGCTTCCAAGACACACTTCTTTCCTTTCAAGAACCTTCCCTTTCAGTCACTGGTTTCAGGATCAACATTTACAAAGCACCCAGGTGGTTGAGGAAAGTCACTGACAGAGGAAATGTGAAGCAAACCTTTCCACATCCTTCTCATTTTTCATTGTCAAGCACCCTGTCCTAAGGATATTTTACAACAAATAAGAACTAGAGATGGGCACAAACCTCAGTTCATAGATTAATGCTCCCTTCCCCCATGCCCCTGGCCAGCTCCCGCACACCAGTTGGCATGTACTGTTTTCTCCTGTTCTTTGCATGATCATCCAGTCACAGCAGAAGCACAAACTTCCCTTCTCTGCCTCCTCCAGCAGCTGCCCACTCAGATGGGGGAGCAGGGCCTTCTAGGGAGAAAAGCACGACATGCCAGACGGTGAGTGGGAGAGCTGGCTGGGGAGGTGGGGAAAGGGAATGCTTGGCACTTGTGTTGTCACAGTGACGAACCAGCATGGACCTCCAAACCTATAGTTCCAAAAAGTAGCTTTTCCCTGCTCTGAATATCTTTGAATGTGTTACGTATAGTCATACATAGTTTGAACCAGAACCCAATCCCAAGCCCTTTGGCTGGTTCTGAAAGGTGAACCAACAGTAGTGAGTCATCATTATCAAATGACAAAAGTATGATGGACACATTGATCAACAGTTAGGACTTTTCATTCCACAACATACCACAAGGGTGAGCGTACTAGGAGACCCCCATATTCAGGAATACGTAACAAATGAGTGCTGGTACCTGTGATCAGTGTTGGTCTTGTGCTTCCCATTCCTCAGTCTTCTGCTGACTGCCGAAGGGGGAGGTGAAGATGGGAGAGGAGGGGGTGGAATAGAAGGCAGAGGGGGCAGGTTCCTCTTGCCCCTAATTAGCGGGGCCCATCCCTCCTCACCCTCATGTTTGAAAGTCCGCCGAGGCTTTGGGAGTGGGTTGATAAAAGGTTTCTTTTCAGGCAATCCTGGCTCCGTGTACACATTCTCCTCATTGCTGATTTTGCCTTTTACACAAGATGCCTTGACCTCTTCTAGAGTTCCAAAGATTGGCTCAGGCAAGTCAGAGTCCAAACCAAGGAGTCGCTTCCCAAGTTCTGACCGGCTGACATTCTCTTGGCCTTCAGAAGGGTTGTGACTTTCCTCTGTTTTTTCTTGTAGACAATGTGGGGAATAGTAAGTACCTGGTAACTGTGGCTGGAGCTCAGCTGAACCTCCCTTCAAGGCCTGCTCCAGCTTCTTGACCTGGCTCAGGACAGACAAGTTCTCCTTCGGGACATCCTTCTTCCCATTTTTCAACTCAGCGCCTTTGCCGACATTGGAGTTAAGTTCTTCCTCTTTTAGCTTCATCTCTACCCTTCTCTCTGTATGTTGCCCTGAATTTATTGCTGTTCCTGTTCTTCTTTCAATGTCTTTACTTATTCCTTTACAGTCCAGCTGCCAGTTTACCTGCCTCTTGGTGTCTACTTCCCTTGTTACTGCACTATCCTTGGTTATATTCTCCACTATACCCAAAAATGAACTGAGATCCTCTCTATCTCCTTGGTCTTCCTCCTTCCAGGCAGTTACAGAAGACATTGCATCTTTCTTCCCTTCCCACTTTGAAATCTTCTCCTTGATACTCAAAGGCTTATTTTTCAAGCTGCCTCTCCCAATAGCCCGAAAATTCTGAGTGCCTCCCATTTGTTTCCTTATAATCCTGCCACTTTCCCCAATGCTGAGATCTACAGAAGGGTCACCAATGATCATCTTGGGACTAAGCATGTTCTGCTGAAAACAGTCCAGCCTTGGATCCAACATCAAGTTCTCCAGTGCTTTCAGTGTGTTCTTTACCACAGCAGATGGCTCTTCTTCATGTGCTAGCTTGGTGGAAATACTGTCCAAGTACTTTCTCTTTGAAGGCTCACACCAAACGTCTGTCTTTGTGGTTATATTATTTAGACTTGCAAGTTGAACCCTACTGAACAAGAGCAATTAAACAATTTTTTTAAATGGCAAAAAACTCTGTAATTTGCAGTCATCATTTTTAATTCTACTCAGTCACTAAATGAGATCTTATTACAACAGAGTAGATTCTCAAATAAGCTTCCTGCAATATGTGTAGCTTGATTATCCTCCCTCTGTTTTAAATTCTTTTTACCTTCTCAGTAAATCTAGTCCACCTATATGTCATTTATTGAAAGTATTCAGCCTTTCTTGGGTATTCTACAAAGAGGTTAAAGAAAATACGTAAAGGAAGGAGAGTGTCAACACTACCTTCCCCCATTCCAGAAAAATGAACAAGTGGATCCTAGATCAAATCAAACTTGAATTATTTCTGGAGGCAAAAATGTTGAAACTGAGGGCACCTCATGAGAAGGCAAAATTCTTTGGAAAAGACAATAATGCTGGGAAAGGGTTGAAGGCAACAGGAAAAGAGGAAGATGTATTGACTCCATAAGGAAGCTACAGGCTTGAGTTTACAAGACTGAGCAGGCCTGTTGCAGATAGGACATTTTGGAAGTCACTCATTGGCCACCAAAGGTCAGAGGAAACTTGATAGCACATAACAACAACGACATTCATTCTAACTCCCCAGGCATGCATAGCTAAATATGATGAAGAGAGCCATCTCCGTCTGTGGAGCATCTCACACTGATGGGGAACCATGGTTTTGCAGTTATCTGGTTGCGCGGAGATGCTACATAGCATCCACCTGTCCTATGCAGAAGAGCTAGAACACAGGAGGGCAGCGCTAGCACTCTTTTGCTCTCATGCATTCACTGTAACTCCTTTGTAGAATGGCTGGATCAAGTTTTAGTCACCCAATTTCATTTTGTATCTCATTCTCTTGGTCCCATATTAAATTTAATATGCTTGGGCAAGAGTTGGGAATAAATACAATTTGCATAATCCCCTACAAGTGGTATGAGAGAACCTGAGATAAAAGGAATAAAGAGAGTTGGATGAATGGTCTTCCACTGTATGAAACAGCCTCAGGGTTTATTTAAAGAGAAAAAAAGAAACAAAAAGCTACATCACTCCCACTGTTATATGGTTTTATTCTTCTTATCCCATTTTTGCTTCTGTTTGAAGAAGATTTGTAGATCTTTGATCTACCTCTTGCAAAATTTGTAAATAGAGATGACTATGGAAGGCGCAAGGGATGTGGTGGCGCTGCGGGCTAAACCGCGGAAGCCTGTGCTGCAGGGTCAGAAGACCAAGCAGTCGTAAGATCGAATCCACGGGACGGAGTGAGCTCCCGTCGCTTGTCCCAGCTCCCGCCAACCTAGCAGTTCGAAAGCATGCAAATGCGAGTAGATAAATAGGGACCACTTCGGTGGGAAGGTAACAGCGTTCCGTGTCTAAGTTGCTCTGGCCATGTGACCACGGAAGATTGTCTTCAGACAAATGCTGGCTCTATGGCTTGGAGAAGGCGCAAACACATGGAACGTAGTAATGCCTCTGTAATATCAGCCTCAATTCTCCAAAACCAAACCACCAACTATCTTCAGCCTCTTTCTAAGAAAGGGCTGATTTTTAGCCTCACAACCTTAAGTTTCCATTTTAAATAATGTGAGAAGCAACCGAGTACTCTTATCTTATTTTAGAAATATAATTCTCATGTTAGGAATGTTTTATTTAAGAAATACAATGAATAACTGGTATCTGTTATGTCTAATTCATTCCTCTGTACCATCAGTGCTCCCCAGCATAAAAATACCACTGGAAATACTCACCTTTCAGTCGTTTTGCAAACACTGTTTTTGGCCTTGATGCTCACATTGGTGACTGTGCCTGCTGCTGTCATTGTGTCAGCATCTGGCATGGCTGCGACCCACCTTAAAGGAAGGGCAGGGAAAAAAACATAGTGAATGTCACACAGCAAGTTCAGTTAGTTCTGGTACTTAAAGCAAACTCCTGGATTCAGAAGTGCTCAGACTCTCCCTGTTATTTAATTCCAAAGCACACCTCACTCTCATTGTTGAATCTCGCAACTGTAGAGAGAAAGGAAAGAAAACATACATTTGATAATTTTGAATCCTCCCACCTCTCAGTTATATTATGACAATATCTATGCTGTACTCATTCAGTCTATTGCAATATTCAGAAGTTGTTTCACAGAAGTACTGCTCCATGATTTAAATTAGGGTACATCACACCTTCCCACTTCTCCTTAGGTGAAAGTAGCAAAATGCTTATATCACACAATTATATAAAAATTACCTTTCTCCTTTCTTTACATACTGATGAAGGAGACACTCTGCTGTGCTCATTTACACAGGTGTAGCTCATTCTCATCTCTTTAAATTAAAGATAGCCTATGGGAAATCATATTTTACATTTTCCTAGTATCAGCTCTCAAAAAAACAGAAAATGAGCCTTATCACCATGTGAAATAGGAAACTATGATGCCTTGATGTAAATTTTGTCTATTATTTTCCTTTAGTAAAAGGTTGTTTAAACTATCCTTGGCTTTGTCCTTGCAGAGATCTGGGCAGTTTAAAATAAACATGACAGTATATACTACATAATACAATAACATGCAGTCACCAACAAACTGAGAAGCAAATACTAATCCCTTAAAATGAGAGGGAAAATAATGTCATTTTAACTTGGAGCTGAAAAAGAAGAGTCATGCTGGTTCCAGGGCACTCTAAGCAGAAGACTGTTCAGCAACTGGAACACACAACAGAGGAAGGCCTCTCTGTAATTTATACACATTTTTTTAAAAAAGACTCACTGACATATCTTAAGACCGAGGCCTCTCTGTAATGTATACACATTTTTTTTAAAAAAAAGACTCACTGACATATCTTAAGACCCAGGCAGACAGAGATACCATGTTTCCCTGAAAACAAGCTCTAGTATGATTTTTCAGGATGCTCATAATATAAGCCCTACCCCAAAAATAAGCCCCAGTTAAGTGAAACCCTGCCCTCCACCATTGCACAGCAACCAGAAGAAGACAACATGACTGTAAAATAAAACATCCCCTGAAAATAATCCCTAATGTGTTTTTTGGAGCAAAAATTAATATAAGACCCTGTCTTATTTTCGGGAAAACGCGGTAGGAAGATGTGCCTTTCAGATATTTTCACTCCATACCAGAATTGGTATATAATTTCACGCGGCTGTTCCGACTGAAATTCTGACAGTAGCTGAAATGTCTAGGACAGTCATCTTCAAGAGCAGGCTCATATATACTGCATTATAGTAGTTAGTGGAGCATGGATCATTTTATCAAGGTCATCACTTTCCAGAAAGGAATTGCTGAAGTTGGTAAAGGGTGCTTTATAGCTATCAAGGCCACCACAGCCTTAACTGACAATGTTAGATTGAGAAACATGCCTAAGCTATGGCCCTGCTCTTGCAAGCGAAGCGACAGCTCCATGCAGATCAAGGTTCACACCTGGTATCTAGACATGTGAGCCACCTACAGTGTCTCTATCTTGTTGTGATTTCAGTTTACTGCCCTCATCAAGGCCGCCTCCAATTCTGAGAAAAGAATATATATTGATGACATATTACTACAAACCTCTAGTGACCTCACTCAACAGCTTCAAAGAGCTCTTAGAAAACATGAGAGATAAAAATGAACACTGCAGACTCACAAGGTTGCTACGGACTTGAGCAGAACCCCCCCCCCCCACACACACACGGAATACTCTGAAATTGTCCCTGTAAGTAGAATTGAAACTACAGTACTATATCAGTATGCCCCCAATGGCCAATGCACAGACCCCAATGGCCAATGCACAGATCTGTTCCAACAAAACACTGTAATGGATGATATCAGAATCTGCTGAGAGATCAAAGAGAATCAACACTATACATTTAATGCCTTGTCTCTCTTTACAAAGGTCATCCATCAGGTATATCAATGATGTTTCAATGGGAAATCTGCAAACAGACTGAAATGAGTCCATATCATTTTGTTTCAAAATGTCTGAAGTTAACTGACACTCTCTCTCCAAAAGCCTGCCAATTTTAGCAAGTGGACAATGGTTGTTAAGCAGAGAGCACACAACTGGCTCCTTCAAGACAGCCATCCTCATGTATAAAGGCATTTGTCACTTTGTAGATATAACCAGTCATCCCTCTTTCTCTGCTTACAGTTAATGGTCAAGATGAGAATGGAGTGACTCATTCACAGGGTCACTTGAAGTCACCATCACCTTGATCCTGTCTAACAACAGGTAATTGTGTAAGATAGGAAGGGTTGGCCACACCACTCCCAACATCTTCCCTATGTCTTCAGGCTGCAGCATGTGCAAGCCAACAGTGTTGCTTTAGATACCTCCTCAGCAGGTGTTATCTCATATCGTGTTCAGAGATGGGGGAAATGACTCATTTGGACTAGAACTTCCAGAGTGGCCTTGCCAGCTTGGGGTTCTGGAACTTGTAGTCCAAAGAGGTAATTTTTCTAATGTCTGATCAACTTCAAAGAGAAGAAAATCAATACTTCCCCAAGAAGACAAAAAGATAAGACAAGGGGAGAAATTTAACAGGGGCAGGCTCCAGAAAAGAGGTTTCCAAGTTTGATCTGGTATCGTTCCACAGATGGCTAGTAGGACAGGGGAGCATCACAGTTGGAGTATCAACACTAACAAAACTGTAACTCCAGGGATGTGAATCCAGGTCTTGTTACTCTGAAGAGTCTACTTCTTCACGTCCTGCCAACATCTGTATAATGTTTCTTGCTGAATAAACCTATTAAAATACTACAGACTTAAGGAATACTTTCTCTCCAAGCAGAGGTATGCTTTCTCATCACAGCAATGCTTTCCCATCATTTATAGAGACAAGAGTTGTTTTGAGGATAATACAACTCTGAGGCATTTTCTGCTCATCATAAAAGGCATGCTACAGCCATAGGCTGAAGTCCTGATGCATAACCTACACCTGTGGAAGAGTAATGTAATCGCGAGCAGGGGAACATTTTCAGTAATTAAAATATCGCTATCGGTGGGAAGGTAAACAGCGTTCCGTGTCTAAATCACACTGGCCATGTGACCACGGAAAGATTGTCTTCGGACAAACGCTGGCTCTATGGCTTGAAGAGCGGGATGAGCGCCGCCCCCTAGAGTCGGACACGACTGGACAAAAATTGTCAAGGGGAACCTTTACCTTTACCTTTACTTATTTCTGTCACATGACTTTTCCAACTCCTGTGCAACTCCTTTCAACTTGTGAAAGGTGTGGAGACAGCCAGATAGAAGGACTATAACTTTAATAACCGAAAACCACCCCTTACCTGCAATATCATCTGGGAGTGGCAACTTTCAGATATTAAAGACTTTGGCCTATCGTCCGGTGTTTTCCACGGCTTCCACGTGATGAACAGGATTACATGGGATTTGGAAGAGCCAAGAGAGACAAGTAGGATGTCTTTAAGTACCATTAATTAATGCCCTGCTGGTGGCACCATTATTCTTCCACAAGTGTAAGTTACACAACAGGATTTCAGCAATTGTGTGATGTGTGGAGGAGAAAAACTGTACTGCAGTGCTTTTATTTAATTTGGAGAAGCACAGGAGAAGTGCTAAGAGATCATGCTTATCTAAAAGCACTTCCTAGAATGAAAGTTGGAAAGGACTTCAAAGGGGATGTAAGACATAAAAGGCTGAGAATTCCTGATCTAAGTAAGAGCCCTTCAGATACTTGACAATGGAACCACTTCTCTTTTGTAGGCTAAAATATCCATCTTCTGCCAACCATTTCTCATAAGATTTTATCTCCAGTCATGTTTACTGTTCACCAGTATTTGTCAACACTAATAAATACACCGAAGTGCCCACCAATGGACATAGTATACCAGGTGTCGTCGCTTAATCGTTTAGTCGTGCCCGACTCTTTGTGATCCCATGGACCAGAGCACACCAGGCCCTCCTATCTTCCACTGCCTCCCGGAGTTGTGTCAATTTCATGTTGGTTGCTTCGCAGACACTGTCCAGCCATCTCATCCTCTGCCGTCCCCTTCTCCTCTTGCCATCACACTTTCCTAACATCAAGGTCTTTTCCAAGGAGTCTTCTCTTCTCATGAGATGGCCAAAGTACTGGAGCCTCAGCTTCAGGATCTGTCCTTCCAGGGAGCACTCAGGGTTGATTTCCTTTAGAATTGATAGGTTTGTTCTCCTTGCAGTCCAGGGGACTCTCAAGAGCCTCCTCCAGCACCACAATTCATCCAGCACCACAATTACCCTCACCAGGTGAGGGTAATACAAATAACAGCAACACTGGTGTTTGGACTCTTATTTGTTTTGTTCATAAGTTAAATTAGCATTCTACAAAATGATGCCTTCCAGATGTACTGGTCTACAACTCCCATCATATCTAGCCCGAGCACGATAGGAATTATACTGCAGCACATCTGGAGAACATCAGTTGTGGTAGCCTAAATTCAGGAACTGTACTACAGTAGAAGATTAGCTAGACTAAATTATTTATTTATTACATTTTAATCTTACCTTTCTTCAGAAAAGATGAAGGTGGAACACGTGGTTCTCTTTTCCCCACCCCATCTCCACCAATTTTTAACATAATACAGAGAACAAAAGTATGAGCAAAGAATTAAGATTTTAAACAGCCCATGAGTGTTAACAAGTATTAGTAGTATATCAAGGTGGAGAGATTTAAAACACCTAGTCTGACAATTAGGACAATGGCAAAACATTGATTCAGCTCACAAATCGGGTTTCCACAAAATGGGTGCATTTGAGGTGCAAAATCCCTGCAGCAAAAGAACTATACGCAAACACAGTGCTAGTGATTGCCAACTAGTAGAAAAATAACATGCATGTAAAATCTGCACAATTGACCGGTCATGCAGAAAGACCCC